GCAAAGCCCAAACCACACCCACTGCCGTGGAGTCCATTCTGACCCACAGCGCCCCTAGAGGACAGAGTGGAACTGCCCACAGGGTCTCCAAGGCTGTCAGTCTTCATGGAAGCAGACTGCTCGGTCTTTCTCCTGCAGAGCAGCTGGTGGCTACAAACTCCCAGCTCTTTGGTCAGCAGCTGGATGCTTTAACCCCTCCGCCACCAAATGTCTCACCCACAGCCCGGAGAAAGACCTGAAGGAATTAGTCATACACCCTGAGAGCGGTTAACTCACAGGACTGGAGTATGTTGCTTTGCTTTGCTTCTGTCAGATTTTTTCTTAAAATTCACACAGTGAGCGTGTGTGATGTGTGCCTTCTGTGACCTGCAAACACTGAGCTGTGGTCATGGTCAGTGGGGCTGCTATTGGTGTCGCACAGTGATGACTGAAGCTCTGACCTGGAGGCACCCTGGTCCTCCCATGCCCATCCTCTGCACCCGCTGTGGGGTAGCCAGGTCCTCAGGAATGCCTCCCGCCCGCCGTCATCAGGTGCTTGTGTGCCAGGCTCCCACCAGGCTCGGGCTGCAGCTTGTGGTAGGAGGACTGCATGCCACAACCCTTTCCACGTGGGTGAGTCCCCGACTCACGGGCCTCAGTGTGTCCACGTGAACGAGGATGTGGACAATGACAGCATCCCAAAGACTGGCCTTGAGGACTCAGGCTGCCTCCAGGGCTCGAGCAGGGCCAGGCACACAGTGGGTTCCTAGCACGTGTTCGCTGGGTGAGGAGAACCAGGGCGCGTCAGGTCACTGCGAGCAGCGTTCACAGAGCAGTCGGAGGTGGGATATGCTGAGAGGTACTGGTGGCTAGCACGGAGATGCCCACTGAATCGTTATGTCTTTTGGTCTCTCTGCCTTTCCCCCCCTCATGCTTCACAGAGAGAGTTCCCTCACCTTGGGGCCTTTTCAAGTCTGTCGCCCATCCCTGGCTTCACCAGGTGGCTCCTGGGTTTGCTGAGCTCCCAGAAGGAACACGGACGCAGTCAGCTCTTCACCGACTCTGAGGCTCAGGAGATCACCAGCATCACAGGCGGGCCCCTCGGCGAGACCCTCAAGGTCTTCCTCAGCGGCCACGACTGGGTGAAGTCCGAGAGACTGGTGCGGGCACTGCAGGCGCCCCTGATGCGGCTCTGTGCCTGGTACTTGTATGGCGAGAAGCACCGCGGCTACGCGCTCAACCCCGTCGCCAACTTCCACCTGCAGAACGGGGCCGTGATGTGGCGGATCAACTGGATGGCCGACGTGAGCCTCAAAGGCATCACTGGCTCCTGCGGCCTGATGGTCAACTACCGCTACTACCTGGAGGAGACAGCCACCCACAGCACTGCCTACCTGGGCTCGAAGCACATCAAGGCCTCCGAGCAGGTCCTCAGCCTAGTGTCCCAGTTCCAGAAGAACAGCAAGCTGTAGAAATAAACCTTTCCCAGCAGGCGTCCTTGGCTCAGAAAGGGTTGATTTTCTGGACGGGCCCCAGAGGGTCTGCATCCAAAGGAGGGTGTGTAGCAAAGCAGAAATGCCCGTGTTCTTTTCCTGGTGCGGGGCCCCACCCACTCGTCGCACGGGGAAGTGTGCGACATTGGTGCAGGGTGGTGGTGGGCACAGGTGAGCGTGTGCTTGCGGGTGGAAGAACACGGCCAAGCGGGATGTGGTGCCTGCTTCACAGTCTGCCCCTGCCCCCGTCGGGGCTGTGGCTCTCCCGTCTTCCCAGAGGTCCCAGGGCACATCAGTCAGCCTCACGAGGACCAGGGCGAGCAGCCCCGGTGAGAGTATGTGTATCCTTTGAGCTTATGAAAGATAATTCAGCAACAGGAACTTCAGCCGTTTCTCCCCCTCATTACAAGGGAATAAAGGGCTGTGTGACAGTTTACCTGCCAACCTTTGGTGAGTCTCAACGTGAAGAGGCTTGTGACTTTGCACAATCACTGAGCACGAAAGGTGCTGCAGCGTGGGGCGAGCTGGCTTCTGAACTTTGGCGTTTCAGCGATCCGAGTTCCTACTGAACTGAATGGAAAGAACAAGTCTTGTGTGACCCATTAAACGTGGTTCTCTCACACTGTGCAGTGCTTGTCTTTCAGTTGCAGACGCAAGGCTGAAATCCCCTCTGCAATGTCAGCAGTGCCTTGGATCCCCAGGCCCCAGTGGGGTACAGGGGTGCTCTGGGAAAGGACCCTGAATGTGGGAGGGGCATTAGAGGGCCAAGAGCGGGAGACTGAGGCTGTGGGAAGGAGGGTGTGTGTCTGTGCGTGCATGCAGGGTGGCTCGTGTGTCTGTATCTGTCTGGGGGCAGATATGTTTGTACGTTTGGGTGTTTTTGCATGCGTGAGGGATGGCTGTGTGGCTGTTTGCATGCATGTCTGGGGGAGGGGTTATATGTCTGGGTGTGTTTGTATGCGTGTGGGGTGGCTTGTGTGTGTGTATGTCTGGGAGGCTTATGTGGCTGTGTTTGCATGACTGGGGGAGGCGTTGTGTGTCTGGGTGTGTTTGCATGCATGTGGGGTGGCTTGTGTGTGTGTGTGTGTGTTTGGGAGGCTTATGTGGCTGTGTTTGCATGTGTCTAGGGGAGGCGTTTTGTGTCTGTGGGTGTGTTTGCATGCATGTGGGGAGGCTTGTGGGGGGGGTGTTTGTGTCAGTGTGTGGGTGTGTTTGCACGCGTGTCTGGGGGAAGGGCTCGTATGTCTTTTTCTCGGAACGAACCAATTCAGTCCCCTGCGGGAATCCGCATCTCCACTGCAGGCACTCTGAATCAGAATGGCAGTGTAATAAGATCTGTACAAACCACCTGTGAGCCCTGCTGGACCGCCTTCCCCGAGTCCTGGTGGGAGCAACCTCCTATGTCTTTGTGTTGCTTCAGCTGATTCTAAAAGCCAAGACCTCTGGAGCCACTTGCCAGCAAATCACCTGTCAGCAGCCTGGCACGTTCTGGGCCCCTGACAGAGGCAGATTCTTTGTGGCAGGTGGGCCGGACAGGGCCGCAGACCCTCAGTCACGCTGAACCCTCCTCCAGCCCTCCCATCTCTTCTCAGCTTTCGGCCTGGGTCTGAAATGTCAAAGCCCAGCAGTCTTAGAAGGCAGCCTTCCCCCCACCTCCCCAGGCACTCCACCTTGGAAGCTGCCCGTCCGTCTCAGAGCCGACCCTGCCCCCTCCCGCACCACTGATCTGAGTTCAGACTGGTGCCGTCCCCCGCCAGTAACCGTGGAACAGGCCCACCACTTGTGGGGTTCCACTGCCTTGGGGCCTGCGTTTCAGGCAGACCCCAGGTTTCTCACGTGACCCAGAAGGGTTTCAGGAGAGGGTCTGCGCTATCGCGTCCCAGAGCCTCACCACCACTCGCCACAGGCCTGCTCTGGCTGGTTCGCACCCTGCTCTGTTCCTTGAAAACGTGGCACGCACATCATGGTCGAGGCCAAGGCTTTAGAGCCAGCCAGTGCCCAGTTCAACTCCTGGCCCTGCCACTTCCCAGCGGGGCAGCCTGGAGCAAGCCACCTACCCTGTTGTGTGGGGACAGCCACAGAACCTTGCCCCGCAGGCGACAGCTTCGGCAGACTGTCAGACCGTTCCCTCTGGCACAGCAAGCAAGGCATGTTCCAGGCTGGCACTGGGACGCAGCCGCTCACGTCGGCGTGCGCTCTGGGATCCTTCCGCTTGTTGGGGAACTGGGAGGCCTGGCGGGCTGTCTCCAATTCACCATTTTTCCACGGTGACGAGTGAGCGCGTGTGGGGCAGGATCTTGTCTTCGTTGAGTTTCTGCCCTGTGTGCTGCTAGTACGGTCCCCGTGAACTAAGCGGCACCCCACTTCACCCCACCCCATCCTAGAAGCTAAGTGGTGCCCCACTTCTCACCCCAGTAAGTGATGCCCCACTTTGCAGACCAACCACCCAGGCTAGGCAGCAGGCTCCCAGACTAACTGAAGCCCGTGAGCTGCATCCTGGCCCGCCTCTGCCCTGGTACTGCCCTCTGGAGCCTCACTGTCTATAGTGAAGGTCATCTCTCTGCCCTTCAGGTCAAGGGCAGGCCCAGAGTTGCCGAACCCCACGTGCTCCTCATCAGAGCCTGGCATTCCTCGGCCAGATGGCCACTTCCTATTCCGTGCCCTGTGCGGGTTGCTGCCCTGTCGACCCGGCTCTTGCAGCCACGTGTGGGTCGGAGCAGAGCTGTGATTTCAACGGCTGCTCTTCCCCGAGTGGATTGCCAGGCCTTCCTTCCAAGTCGTCTCTGGGAGGCCTTGACCTTTCCACCACCCAGGGACTCCTCTGGTTCTGTGTGTGGTTCACCAAGGGGGATAAAAAAAGCTTAGTATTGCCAGCTTTAGCTTATTCTGGGCTTTGCTAGAAATTAAGCCCAAGGTGTATTTATGCTCGAAATGGGGAAAGCGTCTTTCTGCTTTCTAATTAGATTTTAAGGCAGTCGTTCGAATGTGAAGTCTGTTGATCTAAAATAGGTTGTTAGAGGCATCCAAAGCTGCCCAGAGATGTTTGTTTAATCATATTTCTGTGTTTTCAGTGGACATTTGTGCAGAGAGTAATTAAGACAGTAATGGTTCGGCCTCCCACCTTTTTCATAGTGTTTCAGCCTCTCGCCCATCCCCCTCCAGGGCTTTCACCCGCAGTTCTCCTGTTCCCGTCCCCTCACGCCTTCATCTCTCCTTTAGAGTAACTCGTGACTGGTCGGTTGCCCACGATCTTTGCTTCACCCCAGGACATGTCTGCGGTATTACAGTTCAGCGAAATGGACAGCGATGATCTTGGGTCCCTCTCTTGCCTTGTAGTTTTCCAAGTCCCATTTGCATTTCTGTTGTTGTTCTAGGGGGCCGTGGAGTCACTTCCGACTCCTAGCGACCCCACGTCCAACAGCATGAGACGCTGCCCGGTCCCGCGCCAGCTCATGATCCTTGCTGGACCTGAGCCTGCTGTTGCAGCCGCTGTGTCGGTCCATGTCGTTGGCGGCCTTCCCCCTTTGTGCTGACCTCTCCTTTACCAGCATGATGTCCTTCTCCAGGGACTGGGCCCTCCTGATGACGTGGCCACAGTGTAAGAGAAGCCTCAACGCCTCCCCTTCTAAGGGGTGCCCCGGCAGTACGCCCCCTAAGAGGCGTTTGTTCTCCTGGCACTCCGTGGTATAGTCAGCATTCTTTGCCAACACTGTCATTCGAAAGCATCGCTTCTTCTGCACTCTTCCTTCTTCATTGTCTGGCTTTCACATGCATAGGAGGTGACGGCAGTGCCGTGGTCTGGAGCAGGCACGCCAAACCCACTGCCACTGAGTCGATTCCAACCCATAGTGACCCCTACTGGGTTTCCAAGGCGGTAAATCTTCACGGAAGATTTAGATGGTCAGGGTAGCTGGTGGGCTTGAACTGCCAGCCTTCTGGGTAGCAGTCTCATGCATTAGGCACTGTGCCACGCTAGTCTATCTCCATTCTCGACCATCAGGGAGGGGAAGGGAAGGAGTATTGATGCAATGTCTGCTCTCTGCCAGGTGTTCATGCATGCGCCCCTCAGAACCACTCTAAGGCAGGTAAGTAAACTTTTACAGATGAGGAAACTGAGGCTTAGACACGGGTGAGCAGCTGGGGAGGGCAGAGCTGGGATTCAAACCCGGTCGGAGCAGCGCCAGCGCCTCTGCTGTCCCCCGCTAAGCCCATCCGCTCCGGCCCCATGGGGACAGCCCAGCAGCGTGTGGAGAGTAGCACGTTGTGCACTTCAGCAGCGTGAAAGGCGGGGGCGGTGGAGAGCCGCCTGGGTGGGGCAGGGGACCAGGACAGGGTTGGAACAGATGGCCATCCGAGGGGCTGGCCCGGGGTTTCAGTTGGGCTGTGGTGTCCCCTCTGAAGACTGGGCTGCCATCAGTGAAAGCACCAGCCCCAGAGGGCGTGGCCAGCCAGGGACAGGAGGATCCTGCAGGCAGAGAGGGCGGCCTCTGGACCAGGGCCCGCTGTCACCCAGGCCTCCCGCCATGGCTCTCACCGGAGACCGGCTTCGCCTGCAGGCCTGCCCCATCTCCCAGAGGCCTCGTCTCCAATTCCCTGGAACTCAACCTTGGCAGTTTGGAGCGGAACGGCCCTGGGACTGGTCAGACTTCAGGCAGACGTGGTCTCTAGGCCAGTCGCCTCTGGCAAGAGTGGAGGGATGGTCGGGAGAGAGGAGAGGTGAGACGTGGTTCTGAGGGAGGCTGCGTGGCGTGTCCCATCCCTGGAGCCTGCCTGTGACTCTGGGGGGGGGGGCGCACTGTGCACCTGTGTGCCCACTAGATGGCGGTGTTGCATTTGTGGCCACCTCTGCCTTGGAGAAGCTGTGCTCCTGATGCATTGTCTATGGCACCCAGACCTGGCTTAGACCTGACTCGGAGCCCCCCACAATGAGCGCCCCTTCTCTCCAAAGGCCAAACAATAAGACATGCTGCTCCCCCGAG